GCTCCCTGGGAGAACGCCTCGGCCCGCAGAACGTGGCCACCAGGGGGCGGAAGGGAGCAAATCCGTGCCTCCAGGAGCTGGTCTCTGTCCTTGGCTAACTGAAAGGTTCTCCGCGGGACTAAAGACCTGGAGATTTACTCCCGTCAAGATTTCAGCCTAGAAAATCCTATGGGGCAACTCTGCACAGTCGGATAGAAGCGCTGTGTGTCGGAATTACCTGGAGGGTACAGAAGAGCTGCGCAGCTTTGGTCTCCAGGGGCCGCGGTAACAAACAGATCTTGTCTGGCTAGAACTTTAAATCCAGGTGTTGGGCAGGGCCACATTCTCTCTGAAGGCTCTGGGCGGGGGGCGGCAGCTCATTCCTTACCCCTTACAGCTTGGGATGGCCACAGGCATTCCTTGGTTTGTGGCAGCATCTTCCCAATTCAGCCTCCAAGATCACATGACATCCTTCCTCTTTCTCTCCTCGTCTAGAAAGACCCCATCATACTGGATTAGGACTTTTCTCCAGCCTCGTTGTACTCCCCCTGAGAGCACGGGGTTAGGGAGCTCAGACCTGGTCCCTGCCCCAGAGAGGGAGCCAGCAGCCTAGAGGAGGGGAGGAGAGCGAGAGGGGAAGGAGGAAGGCCAGCCGATGGGAGATGAGAAGAAAGTAGGAAAGGAAGAATGGGAGAAAAAAGAAAAGAAGGGGTAAAAAAAAAAAAAATTGAAGGAAAGGAGGGGGAAAAGGGAGGAAAACGAAGTGAGGAGGGAGGGGAAAGGTGTAGGTAAGACGGATGGAGGGGGGGGAAAGAATAAGAAAGAAAAGAGAGGAGAGGAGGAAAGATGGAGGGATGGAAGACAGAACGCACGCAGTACTGATGTCCAGCAGGACAACCCCTCAGGCCGCCCCTTCCCCGCCGTCCAGCCCCCACGTGTCCAAGCTAACCCCCGGTGTTGGGGAGGGGGGTGTCAGGGGACATGTCATATCATATCCCTAAGTGCTGCGGCTTACAGCCCGAGACGAGCTAACATTGGAAAAAGGGCCCTGTTCATAGAAATGCATTTGGTAGCCCACCGACCCCGGGTTCTGCAGGGGGCCAAAGGCCGCAGCGGCCCAGGGCCACTCGTTTGGGAGTCGAACGACTACACTTTTATTCGTTGCAATCGCGGGGACTCGAGGAAGGAAGGGTAGCGGATTCGAGAACTTGACCCTGGGCGGCGTAGGAGCGGGGGAGGGGGGGGGTGTCCCGCCGGCCGTGCCCCTCCCCCACACAGAGCCAGCCTCCAGGTTAGGGACCATCCCCACTTCTCCTCCCGTCGGTCCTGCAAACATTCGGCCTTGTGTGTAGGGTCCGCTTATTGGGTGGATTCTAGAAACGACCCGCCCACCGTCTCGAACTAGCCAATTGCAAGAGGTTTCACAGAACTCTGTACTCTCAGGATCGTCGCCGTTCTGCGACGCTTCGGGGATCCTTAGGCCTCAGTGGTCACTGTGCCCCGGCCCCAGGCCCTGACTCCAAGGAGAAGCTCAGAACCTGTGCCCGAAGAAGTGCTCGTCGAGCATCCGGAAAACCCTTGGTGATCCCTGCCTCCCATTTCCCCCCTTGCTCGCCGGCGTGTCCTCGAGTGAACGCGCGCCTCCCAAAGGGGAGTTTGCAGACGCTCCCTCAAATTGGGGACGCGGCTCCTTTAAGCAAATAGGTGTCCAGGACACCGCCTGACGGTAAATTCGACGCCGGCCCAGGCTCCCGGGGCGGACCTGGGGTACAGGCTCACGGAGGCAGGACATGGGTGGCGGGGGTCACACGGTGGCACGGTAGGAGCGAGACAAGGGGCGGTGCAGGAGGCGAGCGGGTCCGGCGCGCGGCGGACAGCCCCGCTCAAGCCCCGCCCCGCCCCGCCCGCGCCGGGGTCCTCGGAGTTGCTCGGGCTGCGCGCGGAGCGGGCTCCGGAGGGAAGTCCCGAGACAAAGGGAAGCGCCCCCGCCGCCACCACCGCTGTCGCCGCAGCCGTAGCCGCTCGGCTTCCCGCTTGTCGCGACTCGCCGGGCCGCGGCCGCCCGAGGTATGCGCGGCCCTGAGGGCGGGGACTTCGGGGCCGCCGGCCGGGGAGGCGGCGCCTGGGCCTCCAGGCTCCGGGCGGGCGGGGGCGGCGGGGAGGCCGCGGACGATGCGGGGCCTGGCTGGGGGCGGGCGCGGGGTCCTGGGCGGTCGCCCCCTCTTTCCCCCTGGCCCCGGGTGCGCTCGGGGCCCTGCGGCCCGTGTCCGACAGCGCCGGGCCTTCCCTGCCTAGTGGATGCGCCGCCCGCGCTCGGAAACTTGGCTCTGGAGCCTTCGGTGTTCCCGGGGTGTCCGTTTGGACGTTCCCGCACCTTCTCTCCTTCCGGGCCCGGTGCTGACAGGCGCAGGGGGACTGGTGTCGGGGGGCTTGGGCTGCAGGGTCGGGGAGGAGGCGGAGGTGCTGTTGGGGAGTTGGTGGTTTTTGTCAAATTGCTTTGTGCTGGAGGACGGTGAGGAATGGGGGCCCGCAGGCACCCGAAAGTCGCAATATTAACTGGTTTGGGGGTTTTGTTCATCTTCACCTGTATTGAGTTCCTTCGTTTGCAAAGTTCTAGTGCGTTTTGCTTTCTCTTTCCTCCCCTCCCCCCGCCACTTTTAAGACATTATCCCAAATGGTTTTTGCGACCGTGGAACCTGTGAGAGCCGGAACTGGCGGGGACGGCTCGTGTTTCCGGGCTTTGAAAGTTTTCTGCCTTTTGACAGGCTGCAGTAGGAGCGCTTTCAGGTCGCTTTCTGTTCCTCAAAAAGTGTTTTGCCTTTTCCTCCTCAGCCAGGTTTCCCGCTTTCGCAGGTTTTACTCGATTCAGATATGTGTCCTTGCCCAAGGAGGCGGCTGATCCTGTATTATTTATGGTTTCCCTACCGGGAAATCCCACCCGGAATTGAGGTGTTTAGGTGGTGAGTTCAGTGTCCTGGATCTGTCCCGGGTGTGGACGTTGGGGACCTTGCTGCAGAGAACACCAGGGATCAGAGGTGGACACCCACCTGGCGTGGCCGTGGACTGAGCGGTGGGCAGCTAAGCCCGAGAAAGACAGGCACCTTATGGGAAGGCTGTGCGCTGTGAGTCTGCGCTGGCTTCTGTTTGGTTCCCAGGCCTGCAGGCCTTGTCCACGTGGGTGGAAAGGTCTCCGTGTGCACGTCCCTGAACGTTGTCAGTTTCAGCCTTAGTGCCCATTATACATTCCGTGTACGTTGGGGTTGAGGGGCGATAGGCCCCTTGTCCACCTTCAGTGAGAAGAGCGCGTTTGGAGGCGCCCTACCTGGGCTAGACGCTGTCCTGCCCTGCCCCATGAGTACCCTGGGCTCACCTTCCTGCTCTGAAGCACCTGCCAACGCTTAGAGCGCCCCTCGGGGCCTGAGGAAGTAGATTGGAGGAATCCAGGTGGGATTTGCTATGATTGACGCTGGCCCAGAACAAGGATGGGTTTGCACCTGTGGTTCTTGCTTGGGCCTGTTGCTGAAGGTTTTTTCTGTGTGTGATCTGGTCCCTGGGAGTAAGGAGAGGGACACCCTGGTCTAGGGGGTGCTGTGGGGCACAGGACAGTTCAGAAGAGCCAGCCCTGTTCACTTTGACACCGTCACAAGCAGGGCCTCTGCTGGTGTAGCCGGGCTCACCGAGTGTCACTGTGCCCCAGCATGGCCCGTGGCTGAAGATGTCACTCTCCAAGTGTCTGAACACAGAACATTCAAAATGCTGTTCTGAGAGCTGGTTTTGGCTCCCCTTTGGTCTACACCTGTACCAGGCATTGGGCTAGTTTGACCACTGTCCAAGGGAGCCCCAGCCCCCCTGGGCCTGCCAGGCAGGAGCAGCCTTTCCATTTAGAAGGACCATTTGAAGTGAAAGGTGTGAGCAACCAGCTTGACAAATGAGTTTTCTAGCCCAGCCCAGCCACAGAGACACTTAACTGCATAGGTGAGCCCTCACTTTCCCGTCTTCTGCTCCCCATTAAGCCACATCTCACACCCACCATGTCCTGACTCTTGGCCTCCAGAACCCTTACTGCCCCTAGGCCAAGCCACTCTGCAGTGACTCCGCATAACCCTGGCAGCCACCAAGTAGGTCATTTCACCTCAGTGATCCCCCCCAACCACCAGGTCACATCCCCTCAGTGATCCCCCAACCACCAGGTCACATCACCTCAGTGATCCCCCAACCATCAGATCACTTCACCTCAGTGATCCCCCCCCAACCACCAGGTCACATCACCTCAGTGACCCCCACCCCCACCACCAGACCTAAGCCTGCAGTGCCTCCTGACCCCACTCCTGTTACTGCTGTCCACTACGCCCAGCCGGGCATAGCCCCTTGGAGACCCCCGTCAGGGGCAGTGTGTCTGCCCTCGGGCCTCAGTGCAGCCTGCTTTCAGATTCCCAGAGGAGGTGAGCTGTCCAGGTGAGGGAGGACTCAGGTGTGCTACATGGGGTACACTTAGATGCCCTGTGGCAGTCAGTTCCCACGGATGGCAGAGATGTGGGACAGGCCAGGACTGGGAGGAGTGGGGCTGCTGTGCTCCCAGCTTGGGCTTCTCTCTGTGGGACTTACTGCTGAGGTCAGGTGAGGTAAAAGTCAGAAGCCCCACAGCTGCGAAGTGGGTTCCACCGCAGCCCTGTAGGATTCCCAGGTGGTCCATCTTCCTCCCTCAGAGCCTGGGGGAGGGGGGTTTGTACTGTTGAGCCTTCCCTTAGCAGCGTAGCACTTTAACCAGTGAGGAGAGGGGAGGACTGGCGGTGGACCCTAGGATCTGGAGTGGGGACTACGAATGCCAGACCCTCAGAGTGGCACCCTCTCCTTCCCTCCTCATTTGCTGTGCCATTGGCTCCAGCAGTGGGTCCCAGACCTGGGGACAGGGTCTTTTGTGAGCATGCCCCTCCCATGATGCTCCAGGCACAGGTGAAATGCATCGGTCCCTTGTTGGAGAAACTGTGGTATGTGTGTGGCATTTGTTTGACTTGGGGGTTTCCCCTCCCCAGAATTGGAGCTTGCTGGGGTCTTGCCTGGAAGGTGAGTGGTGAGCTGGTACCCTCGGTGGCTGATCCCCTCAAACCTCCTCCCTTGGAAGTGGGCCTGGTGGTGGTTCGACCAGGGGTCGAGGATGAGGCTGAGTGGACAGTGGGCAGTCTTTGGGTGTCATATAGGAGCAAGGTCAGCTCCAACCTCCATGGAGATCCAACAGGGGTGCTGTGGGCACCCCATGTCGTTTGTGGGGAGGAGGGAGGCTGCCGTGCTTCGCTGAAGCTTTGGTTGGTTATCTGGTAAGCTTTCAGTGCGCAGTAAGATGCTGCTTACCTGTAGGTGGGGGCTGGCCCTGACTGATTGGAAAGGCGGGAAGGAGGACAGGCCTTGAGCAGCTGTCGTCAGAGTGCTGGGGTACAAGACCACCTCCTTGCCACCAGCCCCTTGCTCTCTCCTCCACAGAGCAGCCTTGGGGTGGTGCTAATGGACCATGAGGGAGGGGCTTGCCTATTGGGTGTGTGCCCCAGCCCCCAGGTGGGTCTGTGGAGAGTGTGGTTTGTCCCTAGGTGACCTAGTACCCTCCTCACACTCTACTGCTGGTGTGTGTCTTCATGGCAGGGGCCTGAGTCCCTTCCCAGCGCATGGCTCTGAGCTGGGCATATTGGACCGGGCTCCATCACTACCCTGACCGCCCAGCCCAGCTGGCCTGTGGATCTGCCATGTGAAATTGGGACCCTGGTGGGCATGTGCCTAGTGTCCCACCCCGGAGCTGTGATTCATACTGTTGGTTCTGATTAAACCCTGGGAATTCTCCTTTCCACCCGGATAGGTAGACTTCACTTCTGCCCTTCCACAAGGCCCATACGATGCGCCTGGAGACCTTTTAAATGTTGGTTCCCATTCAGTCTCTCAGGGGGCTCTCAGTGCAGGTGCTGTGTGAGGGCAGGGGGCTTCTGAAGGTCCCGCCCCACCCTGAGCCCTGCCGTGTGGTATGTCTGCTGCAGGATTTGTACTTACTATGTCGGGGATTGCCCTCAGCAGACTTGCCCAGGAGAGGAAAGCATGGAGAAAGGACCACCCATTTGTAAGTAGATCTGTGTCTGGGGCCCGGTGGGCAGCGGGCTGTGGGGCACAAGAGTCACAGCCCTGACTTGCCCTGCTCTTGTTTTCTCCACAGGGATTTGTGGCCGTGCCAACCAAAAACCCAGACGGCACGATGAACCTCATGAACTGGGAATGTGCCATTCCCGGGAAGAAGGGGGTAAGAGGCCAGGGAGCGCAAGGTGACGAGGACTTGTCACATCAAAGACCACAGGGTTCTTGTGTACTGTGGCCCTGTTGGGCGGAGCCTGTGGGATATGCAGGTGGCAGGGATGAGGACCCCGTGCTGGCTGTCCTCTGGGAGGCTGGGCCTGCAACCCTTCTTAGATACGCAGGCCCATGGTGGCCACCAAGGGTGGCTGCTGGAAACCACGTGTCGTGTTCCTGTGTGGACCACGGCCCACTGGGATGGATGCTGGTGACCTTGGTTAGGAGCCATTCCTGGGGGTTGCATCCCCCGTCCTTGGCATCACGGAGCCCAACAAGGGGGCCTTTGCTGCTGCCCAGAAGGGAGGTGGGGGCCGAGTGCCTCCCACCCACGTGGGGCTGCTCTGAAACCTCCTCTCGTAGTTGGAGCTCTAGTGGAGGGCTCTCTGCTCTGGGGGAAGGTCCTTTTCTCTGTCCAGCTCATTTATGCCTGCTCCTCTCTCGTATACCAAGATCCCATTAGTTATCACTAAGAACTCTTCTTCCCAAATGGGTGACATCTACAGGTGTAAAAGGTTAGGATTTGCATCAAGAGTTTTGGGAACACAATTCCTAACAGACCTTCTAGGAACCTGTCCTCAGCCCCTGCTCACCCCTGAGCTTCCCCGCAGGAGCCCATTGGGAGGGACCATTGGCAGCAGGTTGGTACCAGCACCCTACGGTCGGGTCATTGATCGTCCCAGGGTGATGGACATGTGTGGGGCCAGACCCTCCTCCTGGAACACCGCGAGCATGATTAACTGCAGTTTTATTTCCCCACAGACTCCGTGGGAAGGAGGCCTGTTCAAGCTACGGATGCTTTTCAAAGATGATTACCCATCTTCCCCACCAAAATGTAAGTAGGGAGGGGCCTAGGGGACACACATGCCTATGGGGGCTTTAGGGGCTTGGACTCCTGGCGTTGTCAGAGCGAAGAGAACTCGGCCAGGCCACCTGCTTGGACCCTCTGTCCCTGTGGGCTGAGTGCCTTGTGAGCCTGTCACAGTGTGCCTGCACACCTCTCGGTCATCAGAGGGGCCGCGACAGTGACCATCAGAATGCCGTGTGCAGAGCCCTGGAGCTAGCCAGGCCTTCAGTTCGTGGCCCCTTGCTGTGGAGAACGGCAAACCCTTGCCTGGTTACTCATTACCCTGTGCGCCGAGAGCCGAGAGCCGGCCCATAGGAGGAGGTGAGCAGTGTGCTCATTTTCCCTCTGGTACTCATTCCGACTATCTGAGGGGGCTTTGGAAAGTTTGTGAAGAAAATGGACTTTTCCACAAACCTTTTGAAGTCCTATCATGGAAGTTTGGTTTTGGTTACGGTGCCAGCGGTGCAGAAGGGTTTTGATGGATGAGCTGTGACGTGGGAAACTGCTGACCTCACAGAAACTCTGAGCATGACCGTGTCTCCGTCCCCGCGTCTCCCCGGCCGGCCTTGGACTGAGCTCCAAACAGACGCCACCAGTCAAGCAGAAATCACCAAGAATCTGGTAAAAAGCCAACCGAGTGTGTGTACAGGAAGACCCCACATAGGTCCTGAGGTAGTGCTGTCGGCTGTTCAAACCCACTAGCCACTCCTCAGAAACCCTGTCCAGTCGGGGTCACGGCACTTCACCACAACAATAAGGGTCAGTAGCCGGCAGTAGATGAGTTTTGAGGTGAGTGTTGGAGAAGCCAAGCCAAGGACAGCGGCCTCACTGGAGAGGTACCGCGGGGTTCCCTCCTCGCTGAGTGCCTGCCCCGGGAGGAGGTGTGACCGGGCGGCCCATTAGGGGCATGTGTCAGCGTGAGGGACCTCCTGGCCACATTACGACAGGCGGCAGTACAGCATGCAGGAAGAGGGCAATCCACAGCGTGTCCCACACGGAAGGAAGGAGAACAAGTCCCTCCCTCGTGTCACAGCCGGGAAGGTTAGCGGGGTACAGTTTGTGTCAGCCGAGCCCCCCGGCAGCCCTTTCTTTCTACCTGCCCCCGATGTTACTAAGCTCTTTTAGGGTTGCTGATAGTCCCCACAGGACCTAGCAGTCCACCATCAGCCTCAGCCTGGAGGCCCCCACTCTGCCAGCAAGTGTCCTGCCTAGACTCACTCAGCTGTACTCACCCCGGGGGCTGGGAAGCCTGGTGCTCTGCCCCTGGGTCGAGGAGGGTCAGTGCCCAGGGACCTGAGGTGGTTCCTTTGAGACCCAGCAGCATGGAAAAATGGACCAATCACAATCAGTCCTGCAACGGTCACTCACAGCTGGGTCCTAAAGTCCCCCAACTTCTCTTACTCAGGCCCACGGGGAATACATTGTGCAGTGGCACTTACAAAGACTGGGGCCACAAAGGACATCACATAACTCACGGCAGCTCATCTTGGGGCATGCAGTGTTTTGTCCAGGGATGCACATGGGAATATGGTAAATCACGGCACATTGAGGTTGAGACCACCATGAACATGGACAGACCCCCAGGCAGAACGTAATCGAAAGGCCCTTCTCCGCACAGCCTCCGCCTGGCCAGGATACCTAACCCCATGAGCAGAGTTGTCCATCCTCAGGACAGTGGAGAGGCAGAGCATACTCATGTTGCCCTGTGACCTCTAGTGTGTGTGCTGCAGAGATACACACATGCCGCCCCCCGCCCAAAGACAAGGGCAGAGAGCTTGTTTTTGTGAGGTGAGGTCAAGTCACTTCTGACTCACTGCAGCCCCCCACGTTCAGCAGGAGGAGACGCTGCCGGGTCGTGCATCGTACCAGTCCATCTTGTTGGTCTTCCTCTTTTACGCCAGCCGTCCGTCCACTTTACCAAGCATGGTGTCCTTCTCCAGGGACTGGTCCTTCTTGATAGTATGTCCAAAGTATGAGAAAGTTCCGCCCTCCTGCCTTCGAAGGAGCATTCTGACTGTCTCACTTCTGGTAGACCATACTGTCCATGCTCTTCTCCAACACCCTAACTCAAATGCCCTTATCCATTCTCCATCTTCACATTACAATGAGGTGACTTGTGGCTTGGGTCCGGTGCACCTTAGTCCTCAAAGTGACCTCTTTGCTCTGCAGTCTTAGAGAGGTCCTGTTCAGCAGATTTGCCCCAGGCAGCACGTTCTTGATGATCCATCTATGACACTGATGGTGGACCAAGGAATTCTCTGATAACTGCCGTCTCCTCTCCGTTTGTCATGATGTTGCTTCCTGGTCTGGTTGTGAGGGAGGACTGTTGTGTTCTTTATGTTGAGGTGAAATCCGTACTGAAGGCTGTCATCTGTAAGTGCTTTAAGTCCTTTTCCCTGTCAGTGAGACTTGGCCACCTGCTGGTGGGAGTGTGGACTGCCCCACTGCTCGTAAGATGGGCAGTGTCTGCTGAGGTTCCCACGCAAGTGCACCAAGTGCACTCCCAAGGCCAAAACTCACCCTTGGGAGTGTCCGTGGCAGCTTGGGTGTGCACTCACAGGGTGATGGATGGATGGACTGTCCATGCAGCATTCTTGCTCGTGGGCAGAATAGACCCTGGAGTGACCGTCTTGGAACCCTGAGTCAGGGTCACCAGGAGTGGGAATCAGCTTAGATCCACTGTTAAAGTGAACACTTACTTCTGAGAAAGAAACACAGGTCCTGCAAGCGCCCAGGCTGGGAGCAGGTGACAGGCTCAGGGACAGCAGAGACCCTGGGCCCCTCCGTCCACTCCAGGGTAACCAGCAGGTGTCACTGGTACCCACAGTCTGCTCTCCTCTCCTCCAGGTAAATTTGAGCCGCCTCTCTTTCACCCGAATGTGTACCCATCGGGCACTGTGTGCCTGTCCATCCTAGAGGAGGACAAGGACTGGAGGCCAGCCATCACGATCAAACAGGTATGGCCACGGCACGGGTGGGCAGCTGTACAGCACAGCTGTCTACCTGGGTCTCAGCTTGTCGTGTGTCCCCCTCCCCCATAGATCTTATTAGGAATTCAGGAGCTCCTCAATGAACCAAATATCCAAGACCCCGCCCAAGCAGAGGCATACACGATTTACTGGTGAGTCCTCCGTGGGTGGGGTGAGCACATGGACACCAGCCCTGGTGCGGTCAGTGCCTGTAGAGTTAATGCTGCAAGGAGGTCAGCCTGGGCTGCCTGAAGTCTCCTCACCTGGGGGCCTGGAGCCCAGACCTTTCCCTGCCAGCTACCAGGCTCACTGCCCCAACATCCTGGCTCCTTAGTCACCGGCCACGCGGCAGGGGTAGGGGCACGGCTGGGGGTCCTGAGCCCCACTTGAAAAAGGCACCCAGCCTTCCAGAGTCTCCAATGACTTTCCCTGAATGCTGGCTTTGGTGCCTCCTGGTGGCCAAAGGACAAGCCGACGTCCACTGGACCTCATGACTAGCTGATTCTAGAGGACTTGGGCTGGGTGTTGGTCGCACACCCTGAGATGACAGTCCTCACCAGACTCAGCAACCCCAGCCCAAAGGCCCCCCGTGGCTGGCCAGTCGTGTCCCATTGTCAGACTGACCTGTGCTGGGGAGTCAGTGCCCCCACCAACCCATACTACTGCTGTAGACTTGGCTTCCTTTTCCGTTAGTGCGTTGCGATTCACACAAGTGTGTGCAGTTCCCCCACTGACGGTCGCGAGTTGCGGTGCCACCCTCACTCTCAGCCACCGGGGATGCAGGGCACAGACTGGGGGTGGTGGAGGAAGTGCTGGGGCCCCGGGGCACCTGCTGCAGGAGGACTTGCCCTGGGGCTCGGAGCAGCCCTGTCCCGCCCCCAGACGAGGCATGGTACCCATAGCCTTGGTGCAGGGCCGCTCCAACCACAGGGCGGATAAAGGGGTGTTGGGGCAGGCTTTCCACACACTGGAAAAAAACAGAAAACCCACCCAGAGTTTATGTCTGTTTTTGAAAGGAAGCGGGTCAAACCAACAATGTGTCCTCTTTCAGCTTCTTAGCCTGTTGTGACATTAAAGCTGCTGAGACGCAGTTAGTTTGTCACCCTGCTCGTGGGCACAATGCCTGCTGGAGCCAGCCCTCTGTGCCCCAAAGGCTGGGGTGCTGTGGTGGTCAGCGCTGTGATTGGGGGGATGTGGTTGGACCACAGATGTCAGAGGCTGCTACCGAGAACTCAGGCCTCCCCTCTTTCCCTAGGCCTCCCTAATGTGCCTCCTCTCTTCCCCCTCTTCAGCCAGAACAGAGTGGAGTACGAGAAGAGGGTTCGAGCACAAGCCAAGAAGTTTGCGCCCTCATAAGCAGTGGCCGTGGCCGCACAGGAAGGGGTGGTTTGGCAAGAACTTGTTTACAACACTTTTGCAAAGTCGCTCTGTACATCACTAGGCACCTGGGGAGGGTTGGGCGGGCGCCTTGCTCCTTTCCCGCCACTGGTCCACAGCTCTCGAGTCGCTAACTTGCCCCCGTTTTTCACACAGGGTCTCTTCCTTCCGTCTTTTGTATTTTTGATTGTTATGTAAAACTTGGCTTTTATTTTAATATTGATGTCAGTATTTCAACTGCTGTACAATGATAAACTTTTATACTTGGGCTCCTCCGCTCTTGGATGCAGGCATGCTTCCCGCCCGACGTTCGCGCCCGCTTTGCCTCTCGCTGGCCGTCTGTCCTCTCCAGAGCTGTGTCCCTCTGAGCCGGCTCCCACTCCTGCACCACTCCCTTCGTGTCTCTCTGACGTTTTGTCTGTGTTGCTGTTTAGAGTAAATAAACTGTTTATATAAAGGTTTTTGTTGCGTCATCCTCATTGACTGAACGCCAGGAGGACGCCTTTGCGCCCAGGCTTTGGCCAGCCGCATCCTCCCAATGTGCTGGGGGGCCCTGGAGCGGTGGCGTGGCCTTGGCCAAGGGCTGTTGCGTGTGCACCCGCTCCCCCCAGCGGATGGCCTAGAGGAGGATTCTGGCCTGAGCTTCACATCACACCTATGGACAGAGGCTGCTCTCGGCCCTGTACCCATCTGCCCTCCGGGAAAACAGCTACACTTCCAAGCCCATACTCCATCGGCCCCTGGGCGCCACCACACCTTGGACTGGTCAGTGCTGCTCGGCTGCTCTGCGTCAGGACACCGGCCAGCTCCCGGACCAGCTGCAGAGGGGCCGGCAGCAAAGCCCCTGGACTGGGCGCCCGACTGCTCAGAGGTTGAAGGAGGCGGAATGCAGCAGAGGGTGGAGAACACATTCCTGGGAAGACCTTCTCTCTGTGGCTCCGTGTTAAACACCAGGACCAACCAGCAGTGTTCTTGAGATGAGAACCCTCACAATGGCACCTGGGGCTCGTGTGCAGGGACCGGAGGGGGGTGGGTGCCATGCTGGACCCCCAGAAAGGGCTCTGTGCTCCAGTCAGGCGTACCCTAGGAGGCTTTGTGTCCTGTAGGACTTGGTAGCATTGGAGGGTGCCTCTGGGGTTTCTCCCCGCCGGAGGCAGCCATGTTTCCAGTGCCTGGTGGCCTGGGCATGGGGCCGCCCCTGAAAGTCCTCTATTTTCTAACAGTGGGGCCACCCTAGGTAATCAGTCACCGGGTCCGTGCAGCTATAGAAGGAAGTCGGGATGTTTTGCAGGTGGAGTCTTAGAGTCACCGGTGTTTCTAGCGGTGTTTGTAGTGGTTTCCACTGACATGTCCCTTCTGTACCACAGCCCTCGGTAGCACGGGAATGCTGGGCACTCGATCACCCTGTCTTTAGTGTGGGGAGCGGCGGCATACCCAGCATGAGATGCCTCCTCCTTGGTAAGGAATTGTGGACAGCGTGATGACCACTGTATCTACGCATCCTTATTAAAAAGTTTCCACAAACCCACCTGTGAGCTCTGTCCTTTGCCAACTGGGTCTCAGAGACAGGTCCCCAATTCTATGGACTCCTCCCCCCGCCCCCCAGGCCTCAGCAGCAGGCCATCTTGGCTCCACAGTACAGTCCTGAAGCACCATTGAGGTTACCATGACAACAGGTTGCCCAGTTGGAGGGCCTGAGCACTGACTTGGACTGCCTTGAACCAGTCTGAGCCGGCTTCAGCAGGGAGGGGTCAGAGGACTTGTGCACTGACTGCGGGCCTAGTGGGGGCGTCCTGTAAGCAGCCGGAGAGTCATCCAGACATGGTCCTCCCCTCACGTATACCTGCCATTTCCCACACCCCTCCAAAGCTGCCTGGGGAGAAGAGGGTCTCTCAGCCACTCCTCAGAGGGGTCTTCCTTTCAGCAAGAGGCCTGAAGCTCCCAGAGGTGGAATCTAGGTTCCTGCCTGCAGTCCGGCCGGAGGCACCTACCTGAGCCCACTGGTGCTGGTCCTAGACTTGTCACCGTATCCCCTTGTGTTTACTCCTAAGACCCTTTCTGAGCCTCCATCCAGATTCTCAGGGATGGTGGTGGAGACTGCCTATACCTACCCCCTACCCCGCAGCCTGTGTGTTCAGCTTCAGAGAGTCCACCTGGAGCCCTAAGGGCTAAGACTTGGGAACGGCCACTGTGGCCTGGCCAGTCCCTGCTTGGGGTCTTTAGGGAGCTGGTAGCAGGACGGGCTCTGAGCTGGTGACTGGACCAGAGTGTCCCCAGCCTACCTCTCGGACTGCTCTGCTGACGGTGCCACTCCGGGATCCATAGGCTTTGGGACCGGTGCCTGGCATCCTCGGGGACGCTAACACACACGAAGGACTTGCCTGAGAGGAGGCTGTGCCTGCAATTCCCAGGGCTGCCACGAGAGGGCGGTGGTCTGAGCGCTGAGTTGGTAAAACGGGTCCGTTTGTCTGCTGAGCGCCTCCTAGCTGCTCGGTGACTAGTCTGCTTCTGGATAGATCACAGCCTTGGGAACTGCCCTAGGGTTACTGAGTCTGCGTCAACTGCATGGCAATGGCCAGGGGAGCAGTGGCGAAGCACTAGCCTAGTGGTTCAAACCCTCCAGCAGCTCTCCAGAAGAAAGAGTGGACTTGGATACAGATTTACAGCCTTGGAAACCACATGTGTTGAGATGGATGTGAAGGCAGCAGTGGATTTTGCCCCTGCCCTTCTGTGAGCCCCTTTGTGTCTGATCGAATGAGTGGCTCGTCAGCTTTGCGCCAGCAACCCCCAACCCCATCTGGGCCAATATCTTGTGCTCTGACTCCCCTGCAGGCCCACTTCTGGCCCCCAGAGCACAGCAGAGGGGTTCAGAGCAAGGTCCCACCTTCCCACCTTCCCTGCTCTTCTCTGACAACCAACAAAAGCAGAAACCTCGCCCCAGGTCCTCTCAGATCCCGTGCTCTAGAGACCCGCTGAGGGTTCGTGCACTTACTTTCTGAGGTCTCTGAGTTCCTCCAAGGCCCTGGTGTGGGGGTGCTTCAGTCACTGTTTCCCCTGTTTTACAGACAAGGGAAACTGAGGCACAGGGGGGCAGGGAAGGGATGTGGTGGGGCAGGAGTGAGGGATTGGTCTGGGGTTCTGTCCCAGGTCAGAGCATGTCAGGAGAATGGGACTTTCTTCCATCCACTCAACAATTCCCACTGTGTGGGTGTGGAGGGAGGATTCCTGGGACTGGCCTCCGGAGAAATGGAGGAAACTGAGGCAGACCTGGGTGTGAGGCCCTGGACAAGCCCAGTCCTGCTCAGGCCTCAGTCTCCCCACCTGTAAAAAGGGGATGAGGGTCCCGAAAGTTCTGGCAAGTGTGCAGTCAAGGGCTGACGCAGCTCACCCCAGCTGCCTCAGCTCCCAATGAGAGTAGGGTGGGGCTGAGCACCCCACACACCCACTGCCCCCTCCTGACTTCCTGTTTACAACCTCTGCAGGCTCATCTCTCACCCCAAAGCCATTATGATCACCATGGCAACCAGGCCTGTGTGTGTTCCAACAGGTTGGCAAAACCTGACGCAAGACTGCAGGAAAAGGGGAATTAGCCCCAGGATCCTAGCTCAGGACCGGTGGCCAGTCCCCCAGGGACATTGGTTGCCCCAATCCCCATGCCCATCCCCCAAAATGGGATGCCCACTAGGAGTCCATGACAGATGGAGGGTGCCAGGTCTTAGCCCTTCCTTGCTCACATAGATGCAGTCCCAGGCAGTCCGGACCCATTCTTGGTGCCTGCCCCGCTCCCACCCCACCCCCATTTACCAGGGTCTGGTGTCCTGCTGGCTCAGTAAGATAAAGCACTGAACTGCTAACCACAAAGTTGTCCATTCAAACCCTCCAGTCATTCCTTGGGAGAGAGATGAGGCTTTCTGCTCCTGTAAAGATTTACAACCTCAGAAACCCTGTACAAGGTCACTAGAGGGTGGTGGGGTTTTGTTTTGGGGAGGTAAACGGGGCACTGGGGGTGGAGGTTCTGGAGAGACCCCATCCCCAAGTTCTGCCTCCTGTCCTACACAGGGGATTGATTATAGGGCTGGACACAGATGAGGTGGCCCTAGCCAAGTAGCATCGACCCAACCCAGAAGTGCAGGGAGAAGCCACTTGCCGCCTGCATCCCAGGTAGGGTTACCTCAGCCTTTTCTCCAGAGGCACGCTGAAAGGCACTATCACCCCCAGACAGGGCTTCCTCCGTGCAATGAGCTGGATTCAGGCTGCCCGGGATGGACCAGCCTGGCTCCCTGTTCTCCACACCACCTGGACTCCCAACATGAGAGACCTGTTCGTTTGGGGTGACAATTTCTCAGAATCAAACCCTGATTAAAAGGACACCTGTAGCTACCAGTGGGTTGAGTCGGCCGAGGGCTGGGCTAGGAGTCCAGGAGCCCGCTGTGTACCTCAGACACATCCCAGAGCCTCTCTGGTCAGCCTAGAGACCGTGCTCACTGCGGTTCTTAAAAGCATCTTGACGCAGGGAACTTCCCAGACGGCATGCCCTGGGCCCCGCACACCGTAATTTATCCCGTATCGCTTGGGTGCACCCAGGCAATCGGACTAACCGAGGTCACCCCAACCGGGGGACTGTCGTGGGGGTCCGAGTGTTCCTTTCAAGCACAGAAAGCCGGCCCCAGACCCAGGCCCGGGACGGCGCTGGACTGGGAGACTCTCCTGAGATTGCTACGCAGCGCTTCAAGAAAGGTCTGCGTTGTGGTGGGAGCGACACCTTCCCTGGGGTCCCAGGGGTCGGGGAAGAAACGTAACACACCCACATCAGCCCTACCCTCACCCCTAAACCTCTCCCAGGAGGGGGCGCCAGGTCAGACTCTGGGGCGCAGCCACCCTATTGGGTCCCGCAAGATGGGGGGCGGGCCCGGTGCGGGGGCGGAGCTAGCGTGATAGGTCCCGCCCCCGAAGCCCCGCCCCGCCCGCGGTCTTCAGTGGTCGGCGCGAGCTGCTGAGAACCGACGTCGGTGTCTCGTCGTTCCCGGAGCCGCTGTCTGAGCAGCGCCCAGGAGCTGGCGTCCCGCATCCCCCGGGTACCCCGTGCTCCCCAGCACCCCAGAAGAAGCGGGCGCGCGGCCGGGTCCACGGTGAGTGCCGCCGTCTGGGTCTGCGCCCGACCACCACCCTGGACGCTCCAGGACCCACGACCCCCGGCGCCTGTGCTCGCCGTGCCCCCGCGGGTCGGGGAAACTGACGCCTGCCGGGGAGTCCATCCTCCTCCCTTCGGAGCGCGCAGGACGAGTGTGGGGCCCGCACTGCGAATGGGGCAGCGGGAGGGGACCCGGTGGGGAGGAGAGGCGCGGGACCAAGGGGATTACGGTCATCCAACCCTGGGAGGGACAGGAGCTCCGACCCCACCCCAACCCGGAGGACCCCGCGGGGGGCAGAGCTGGGAGACCAAACCCTACAGGCAGCAGGTGCCCAGGATTCCAAGAAAAGCTGCCCCAACGTCTGCGACCCCCCCCCGCCCCCCCGTGGGCCGTCGCAGCTCATCCTTCATCTACCCCCAAATCCCTCATATTGTAAGCGCCGCCCCCTCCTCCTGCCACCAGGGAATTTCAAACACTCTTAGACCCCCCACCCAAACTGCTGGGACCTACTAAAAACACACAGACACCATATGGATGTACCCACACAGATGCCCACTCTTGTCACTGAAGGGCAATGACCTGGTGATGAGCCACAGCCTGGGACCACACAGAAGGTGGAGTCCAGGAGGGAGGGAGGGGCATCATGGTGGTGGAGATGGGGGGTAGGTAAGAGAAGGGGCTCAGGAGACAGCGCCTGGGCGAGGCTTAACAGCAGCTTCCCTGCTCCTCCCTGGATCAAGGTGCCATGGAGCCCCTGGGAGCAGGCACAGCAGGTAACTTTGTTGGGGTACTGACTCCCCCTGTGTGCAGGGGGGCAATGTCTGGGGAGACAGGGGTGTAAGAAGGGGCCTGAGGGAGGACAAACAACAGAATGAAGGCTGGGAGTGGGGGACGCAGGGAGCCAAGGGTCTGGGCACCCTAGCACTGTCCACACACAGGGATGCATCAGTGGACGCCCGACCTCAAGCTGGCAGTGACCAGAATGCAACAGGACAGGGTCCCCAGTGTTCAGAGGGTCACTGTCCCCCAGGGTGACCAGCTCTGGCTTACTGCTTGTAGACATGTAGCTCTCCAGTGTCTCAGGCCTGGGGACAATCCAGCCCTGGGGTGCCTGCTTGGCACCTAGCCCCGCCTCATCAGTCCTTCGATCCCTGGACAGACGGCAGCTGTGAGTCCAGTGCTGATGGACTTACGTCCTGCTCTGTGCTGCTGTCTACTCAGGCGTCCTCCGCAGTGCTTCTCGTTGGATTCACAAACAGCCCAGGGACAGTCACATGCCCACCATTGAAGAGAGCTGGGGGCAGGGGGTGGCCGAGGACCCACAGAGGCCTCCTTGGCGGGTGGCGATCAGGTGGAGCAGGCTGAGAAGCTGTGGGTGTCTGGGTTTCCAGGGAACTGGAGGGGTTCTGGCCCCCTGCCTGAGCCCCTATGCAGAGCTGCTACTCTTGTCTGGGTCCTAGCAACAGGTTGAGAAATAAGGCAGGGAGGGGTCACTTGAAAAATGGGGCGAACTGCAGTTAGCAGGGGGGTAGTAGCCATCCAACAGTCCCAGGTCTTCGTGGTGGTCTCTGACCTTGGGCAGGTCCCTAAGCCTGTTTCCTTATCTGAGACCGCCACCCAGGGAAGCATCCCACCCCTCTCAGTGAGAGTGCAGGTAGAGAACTTGCGGAGGGCGAATGCACCCCCTTTCTGCCTTTGGGTCTTTCATTCTCCCCTGTATCCTTTGGACTCACATTTCTCTCCTGCGTCATGGTCTTCGCTGGACCTCAAGCCCCCCATAGCCCCTGTCACATGCAGACGCGGCTGGCGGTTGCCTTGGCAACAGCTCAGGCAGCAGCTGCTCCACTGGCTTTGAGGGGCTGCGGGGGGGTGGGGGGGAGCAGCTTCTCCCGCTCAGCAGAGAGGGGAAGAGGGCCTGTGACGCCGTCCCCTTGGGACTGTAGGCTGGATGTGGGGGCGGAGGCTTCCAGAAGCTTCGATTCCAACCTGCTGGTCACTCCATTTTGGGGGGCTCACTGTGTAGATCTGAAGGAGGTGGACTCCATTTGGGGCCCTTCAGTCATTGCCCATGGGAAGTCTCCTTCCTTCCTGCCCAAGTCTCATGCCAGTCAGGTGAGACCCTCCAGTCAGGAAAGACAGACAGATATGCACAGTCGGGAGCAGGGAGGCCACTCACTCAAATGTTTATTAAGAACCCCCCTAAATGCAAGGCACCGCAGCCCTCAAATGAGAAGGCAGACAGATGTTGATCAGATTTCACAAACATAGTGAGACCTACGCTTAGAGGACAAGTGGTTAGCAGAAGGCCTTGGGTGGGTGACCACCACTACTGTCTGCATCCTGGTTCACAGAGGGAACGGCCCAGTGCCTGCCTGAGATTCAGCAAGATGGTGATTCCCACAGCTCGTGCAAAAGCCCTGCGGTGGCAGGAAAGCCAGGCTGGGCGGTGGGGTGGACACCAGGGGGCAGAAGTGGCCTAACTGGGGCCTGCACTTTGCCCTGACAGACTCAGTGGAGGGGTGAGGGCACCACTGGGCGGGGAGGGTAAGACGCTTATGGGCACAGCTTACTGCATCATCCAAAAGAGGTAGGGTCCAGCCATGGCAGCTTCAAGGTTGTCCGGCCCTTCCATGTGGGGTCTGCAAAAGACAGAGTCCCTCCGGGACACCGAGCTGAGCCTCCCTACTGACAGGAGGGAAGATAGGACTCTCCTTGGAGAAGGTGTCATCCCCCTTGGTCAGGGGCGATGGCTGTTGGGCTCCTTGGTCCAGCCCCTCCTGGACTTGGACTGGCCCCCTTGCCTCTGCTCCGAGCCCTCTGCCCAGGGACCGTGAACAAGGGTGAGGTGGATCTCCCACGGGGGTACCCAGGCAGGGGGTGTCAGGTTCCTGCAGCTGCCAGCAGCGCGGTCACCAAGGCAGCTGGACAGAGGACGGCGGTGGCGTTCACCCTCCTCCCCAGTGGCAGTTTCTGGTCTGGTCACCACTTTCCCCATCTTCTCACTTCGCTGCCTGGGGGTCATGGGGAGAAGCTCCACTTTGAGGCACTCTCCCTCACTCCCACTGCCCCTGAAGGTTCACTGACTGGCCTTAAGGGCTGAGGATAGATAGGGTGTAGGTACAGGCTGGACTTGCATGAGTGAGGACCCACATGCTGGGTGAGGCCCCGCCTTTGGCTCCTTAGCTGGCATTATGTGGTTCCCCAGCACTGTCCCTGTCCAGGTCTGGAGTTCTGGAGGTGTCCCTGTGGATGCCAGTCCTGGAGATAGACACTGGAGTGCTGGGGGTGGCTGGGGAGACCCGGTGGATGGGAGTCCAGGAGTGCTGGGAGGTAGCTGTGGGGGCTCAGGAGCTCTGGGGGTGACCATGAGGACCTGTGTCCCTGTGGATGCCAGTCCTGGAGATGGACACTGGAGTGCTGGGGGTGGCTGGGAGTCCAGGAGTGCTGGGAGGTAGCTGTGGGGGCTCAGGAGCTCTGGGGGTGACCATGAGGACCTGGTGAGTTGGGCACTGCCCTCCACATCTCTTGATTCTGAGCGAAGCCCCAGGGAAGAGCATGGGAGGATAGCAACCCTTCTGTAGCCCTGACCTAGGACCTCAGGGACACAGGTCCTGAGAGGCAGGTCGGGTGTAGGCTATGGCAGGGCATGCCCTCCCCTACGAAGCCCAGCGGCTCCCTCAGATGAGCACAAGCCTTTTACTCATCCTCCATCATGCCCCCAGACAACCCCACAGGCTCCCATTTTGCAGATGGGGACATGAGCTGAGCTAGGCAAAGTTGGCTGATCTCTCTGGGGCTCCCTGCACCTCAGCCTTCCCCCACACTCCCTGTCTTTGGTGGTCCCAGAAGACACAGCTGCCACCTGCAGAGACCCCTGGCTCCTGCCTTCACCTCCAGCAGTGGCCTCTCCTCTCCCCCCCACCCCCCAGGTGCATCTGGGTGCTAGAGGTCAGGAGGGTGATACTGATTAGTGTTGGGAGAACTCAGCAGTTGCCACCTTGCTATTCCTGGCTTTTGCTGCTTGGAGTTCAGGGGGCATGGTTCTTTGTGAACTGTTCAATGCGGCAGGTGGTCAGTGATTGTAAGAGACTGTGTGGGACAAGCTGAGTGAGTGAGAGCGTCAACAAACTAATGGATGAGGGAGGGAATGAAGGTGTGGAGGACGAAGGGGGATGGAGGGAGGAAGGGTGAACGGGTGGATAAGTGAGTAAACGAGTGGACGAGTGCGTGACCTAGTGAATGAAGATGTGAGGGATGCTGAGTAAGTAAATGAAGGACCGAACCAGTGAGTGACCAGTCCCGTTGTGCCCCTTGCACACAGGCCGGCCATGTCAAGCCTGCTGGACCTCAAGAGCACCGTGCTCCGGCAGGTGCAGGTGTGCCCATCCTTCCGACGCAGGAGCGAGGAAGAGGCAGGAAGCTCAGGCGCTGCTGCCCCAGCGCCCTCCCAGGAGGCCTGGTCAGTGCCACCCCTCCCTGCCCCTACCCCACCGGACTCAGTCACACCAGGGGGGAGGGTGCCAGGGTCGCCAGCAGACCCTGGCAGTGGTGCTTTGGACATGCTGCCCCCCACCCACACCTGCCTCTCTCTGGCACCCCATTGCCAACCGTGCGGCCATCTGCAGGAAGCCGGGGGATGGTGTGGAGTTCTTTGCGCAGATGCGCTTGCTGTTGAAGAAGGGCGAGAGCCGTCAGTGCCTGCCACGCCCCGAGGTGAGCCCCACCACGCCACCCACCACCCCCTATACCTATACCTACCCCCTGATGCCCACCTGAGCCCTCCCCACAGGTCCTCCTGCGCAGCGGCTCACCAGCTCCTGCTGAGCCTGTGGACCCCAACCGCGGCCTGAGGCCCCTGAGTCTGGAAGAGGTAAGAGGTGCCCAGGGTGGGGGCTGTGCTTCTTCCTCCCTTTGCCCTGCACCCATCAGGGCCTGGGGCCTAGGGTGGGTAAGGCCATGGACTCTGAGCACGCACCACCCATTCCAGGCAGAGATGCTCTACGAGGAAGCCTTGTACACAGTTCTGCACCGCGCAGGGACCATGGGCCCTGACCAGGTGGATGACCAGGATGCCCTGCTGGCCTACCTGGGCCAGGTGAGCCTGTCAGTCCCCACCCCCATGTCACTGTGCAGGCATGCACACATGCTGAGAGCATGCACACCCTCCTGCCCCGCTGGGGGCTCACCCCGCAGGCCTTGCCCCTATTTCCCAGGTTTTCAGCAGCAGCCCTGAGGAGCATGCGGAGGCCTTGGAGCATGTGAGAAAGGCCAAGGTGAGTGCTGTAGTGTACAGGGGGCAGGGTTTCAGGTGGGGGTCTGCAGTAGATCCACCCACTCTGACTCATGATCCCCCGACCTCAGGCCCCTGCCTATGCTCTCAAAGTCTCTGTCATGAGGGCCAAGAACCTGCTGGCCAAGGACCCTAATGGTGAGTGGGCAAGGGGGCAGCCTGGGCATGAGGCGTGAGCACTGCGGCCCTTTGACCTGGTGACCCACTTGCCTCCAGGTTTCAGTGATCCCTACTGCATGCTGGGTATCCTGCCAGCCTCAGGAGCCCCCCAGGAGCCCCCCGGGAAGGACCAGCGCTTCAGCTTCCGTAAGGGCAGCAGGCGTGGTGGTGGCACCAGGGACCCACTGCCCGCCAAGTGCATCCAGGTCACCGAGGTCAAGAGCAGCACACTGAACCCTGTGTGGAATGAGCACTTCTTCTTGTGAGACCCCCACCATCCCTGGGGGCACAGTGGCTGGGATGGGAGGGTGGCGGGACACCAAGGAGGGGGTTGGGTGCACCCCCAGAGACTGAGACTTAGACAGAGGTGCTGCTCCGCATACACAGCGGGCAATAAGTAGCAGGATTAGGATTCGAACCCATAACTGCCAAGGTGAACCAGGTGTCCCAGCATCCTCATAGCATCCATGTCCTTGACAGTGAGATCGAGGACGTCAGCATGGACCAGCTGCACCTGGACATTTGGTATGGGCCCCCCAAGACACGAGCATATTGTGCCTCTGATCAGGTGACAATGGAGGGGCCTCAGGGCCAGGCTTGGGGTTCCATCCAGGTAAGTCAGTGTCCCTGCCACCCCCAGGGACCACGATGATGATGTGTCTTTGATGGAGGCTTGCAGAAAACTGAACGAGGTCATGGGCCTGAAGGGCATGGGCAGGTAGGGGACCAGGATCCAGCCCAGGACCTCCCGGGCAGCCCTGTCCCTGTGTCTCTGCAACTCCACATCTGCAGCGTGGTTCCCCAGGGACCACTGGCCCAATGCCCCCCCTCCCCTCAGGTATTTTAAGCAGATTGTCAAATCAGCCCGGGCAAACGGGACAGCAGGGCCCACCGAGGACCACACTGATGACTTCCTGGGGAGCCTCAACATACCCATCCGTGTGAGTGGGCGGGTGACACCCTTCAACATTTGCTGCACACTCAGTGGCCCCGAAACTCCCCAAGAGTCTCTGTGCCTCTCTCTCTGCCGCCTGGACTGGGAGGGAGGGATGAGCTCTGGAAACTAGAGTCTGCATGAGACCATACCAGTTCCAGAGAGGTGTATGGGCCTGACCCCACCTTGCCCCCATAGGAGGTGCCCGTGGCTGGTGAGGACCGCTGGTTCAAGCTGGAGCCTCGGTCCAGTGCCTCCAGAGTGCAAGGTGAATGCCACCTGGTCCTCAAGCTGATCACCACGCAGGTGGGCCTGCCCTACCCCGTGTGCCTGTGGGGCTTTGGGGGGACTGGTAACAAGAGCAGGTCCTGCTTTGCAGAGAGACACGAGTATGAGCCAGCGAGGTCGCTCCGGCTTCCTGTCCTACCTGCTGCTGCTTGACAGCCTGCTGCAGTTCGAGCACCGTGCTGAGAAGGTAGTGGCTGTCCTGAGGACCCCCGTACACCAAGGCCAGGCAACTGGGAGGGGCGAGCAGGGTAGAGGGCTCTGATACCCACTCATACCTGCCCTCCGTCCCAGCCTGACTCCAGCAGCTGGTGCGGTGAGCTCAGCGGGCCGGCATCCACCATCCTCTCTCTGCATAGCGCCCAGAGCAACCTGTCACCCCTGCAGCTGGCTGTACTGTGAGTCTGGGGCTGGGCCGGAGCAGCCTGGACTGGGCTGGACACCGCCCTGACCAGGCTGGACCCCACAGGCACTGGCAGGTCAGCAGCCGGCACCATCAGACCTGTTCCTTGGACTACAGCTACCTGCTGGGGCTTTTGGACGACATGCAGACCCATTGGGAGCAGTCCACTTCACTGCCCCAAGAGCAGGTGGGTAGCCACCAACCCCTTGCTGGGACTACCAAGCCCACTGGGGGCACCCAGACACACTACATGACACCCACCAGCAAAGAGTGTTGATGAGTGGGAGTGACCACAAGTGGGGTATTGGGGAAGGCTGCCAGGTTTGAACTGATGGCTGAACAAGAGGGAGTGGGTGGACGAGGCTATCAAGGCAGAGGAACAGCAGATTGAGGGGAACAGCCCTTGCAAAGATCCTGGGGTACATCTGAGTATAAAGACACTTAGGAAGGCTAAGGTCACAGTGCAGGGAGTGACTTGGCTACACTGTGGACAGGGAAGGTGTTTGTGGGCGACACTGGGGTGGGTGGGGCTTCAGCAGAGGGTCTTGTCCCCTAGGAGGAGGGCCTAGCTGACAGCTTCTCAGCCTTCTCCGAGTTCGGGCTGCAGCTGCTGGGCCAGCTTAGAGACTACTTCCCCCCCACAAACAGCACAGCCATCTACCGCCTGGAAATGCTGCTCAAGTGGGTGCTGATGTGGGAAAGGGAGGGAGGGAGGGAGGGAGGGAAGGAAGGCGAGATGTGGTGACCCACAGTCAGCGGACGGCCTCCATCCAGGTGCCTGAGCAAGTTGCAGCTCTTCCAGCCTTCCTTTCAGACCTGCCCCTTTGACAACGAGCTGAACATGGATATCATTAAGACCCTAAAGGTACCTGTTAGGCCTGGACCAACTACACAAGAACTCCTGCTGGGAGCCCCGCCCCCGGGAAGCCCCGCCCATGGAATCCCCGACCCGGGAAGCCCCGCCCCTGAGAAGCCCCGCCCCCTATGCTACCCCAGTGACTTCCTTGCAGAAGGGCAACCAGGAGTGGTTCGAGAAGCTTCTGATAACTAAAAGCCCCCGGGAACAGGTGTGTTGCTGTGCGGGTCGGGCAATGGCTTCAGGTGCAGGTGAGGTGGGTGATGCGAGGCAGGTATGAGCAGGTTTTCCTTGCAGCCTGCACCGCAGCGCCTCCTGGGACTCATTGATCTAGCCGATGCTGTCTATGTGGATCTGCAGGCGGACTACGGCATCTATGCCAGCCTCTTCCACAGGTGGGTGTCCCCCATCGGGGCAGGGTCCAGGGTTCAGGGGTGGGGCAGCACATGGCTGATGCGGGTCCTTTGCAGTATCCTGAAGGTTGATTTCTTCACCCTAACCTTCCAGCAGCTGGAACGTCTGGTGAGGAGGGACCCTGAGCGTGCGGACCTGCTGGGCATGGGGAAGTGGAGGGAGGTGGTCCCGGGCTTGTCAGTGACTGACCTTGGCTTCCCTGAGCAGGTGGCCGACGAGGCATGCACACTGGCAGAGGAGCTGAAGCCCAAGCTGACCCCGGAGGTGGCCTCGGGGCTATTTGAGCTCTACCTGACGCTGGCAGACACCCAGCGTTTCTGGAGCAGAGTCCCTGGCCAGTGGGTGCCCCTCATGCTCTCCCTCCACCTGCCCACAGCTGTCAATGGGGGCTCCTTGAATCATGAGGCAGCCAACTGACCACCTCCCCCACAGGGACAGCCGGTCACTGGCCCTGGCTGACATCCATGGGCCCTTCCTGCCCGCCATCAAGCTGTGGCTGCAGGTTCTGCGGGACCAGACCAGGTGGCGGCTGCAAAGCGCTGTGGACATGGACATGGTGGGTGGCCTCCCAGCTGGTGAAGGGGCTGGATCTCACTCAGGCCCCCGCAAGCAACCCCAGTCCCTCTGTCCTCCAGCTGGAGCCCGCGGACGCTGACTCCAAACACAGCGGTTCTGCCACGGCTGCTGGACTAAGCTTCCATCAAGTCCAAGAGCTATGGGTGCGCCTGGCCTGGCCAGACCCCATCCAGGCTCAGGGACTAGGCACTCAGCTAGGCCAGGTGCGTCTGCCGGGATACGGCTGGGAGGGGCAGGGCGCAGGGGGCAGCAGGGCCAGGGACAGCCCCGTGTCCCCCCTTCCTAGGACATGTGCGAGGCCGCCCTGTTCTACACGGAGCTACTGCGGAAGAAGGTGGACGCGCAGCCTGGTGCCGCGGTTGAGGCGGTGAGTGACCCCGAAAGCGATGAAGGGAGGGGGCTACACGCCCCTGGCCCATACTCTCTGTCCCCATCCCCAGCTCTGTGCGGTCCTTAACGATGTGGAGCTGGTGCGCAAGGCTGCCGGGCAGGCGCTGAGAGGTCTGGTGTTGTTGGAAGGCGCTGGTGGGCCCGAAGGGGGACTCCCGCGGCCCTTGCTCAGCTGCACTCAGGTGCTAGACGAGGATCTGCAGCGCGAGGCCCGCACGGTGACGGCTCACCTGACCTCCAAGGTGGGCGGTATCGGTATCAGGACAGGGGGCGGGGGAAGGGGCGGACTCAGCTGTGGCAGCCTGCAGAATGCCCCCTTTCTCCAGATGGTAGGGGACATCCGGAAATACGTGCAGCACGTCAGCCTGTCGCCGGACTCCATTCAGAACGACGAGGTGCGGCCAGGCAGAGGCTCAGGTGGGAGCGGTGGCGGGGTGGGCAGCCGAGTGGGGCCGGCCCTGAGCAGCCCGCCCGCAGGCCGTGGCCCCACTCATGAGGTACTTGGATGACAAGCTGGCCCAGTTGAACGCCTCGCTGGTGAAGGAGAACCTGGACAGGTACTCTCGGATGTGGGAGGCGGGTGAGGGGGTGGCCGGAGCCGTAAACAAAAGCCGGGTCTCTGTAGGGTGCTGGAGGCTCTCTGGGAGCTGTTGCTGCAAGCAATTCTGCAGGCACTGGGGGCAAACCGAGATGTCTCCGCAGACTTCTACAGCCGTTTCCATTTCGCCCTAGAGGTAGGACCCGCCCCGATCGATCTCTGAGGTGGCCTGGGGAAGCCACCTGTAACTCGCTTGGGCCCAGACCTCCTGCATTCGCAGCCCCTGGGAAGGTGACAGATGTCTGGCCCAGGCGCACGCCTTTGCCCAAGCTTCCTGGGGGAGTTTGATGAGCCACTCATGGGACCCAGCTCCCAAGATACCCAGTACTGCCCGAGATTCCCCAGAACTGGAGATCTGCCCTCCTGCCCCAGCACAAGCCTGCCCTTCTCTCCCTGCCCCAGGCCCTGGTGAACTTCTTCCACGCCGAAGGCCAGGGCCTGCCCCTAGAGAGCTTGCGGGATGGCAGCTACAAGGTGAGCTCAGGACGCGGGAAAGAGGCGCGTGAGCATCTGCGGCCCCCTGACCCTGACCACCCGGAATCTCAGGCCGGTGTCCCCAGCGCAGTCACCTACCTTGAGCCCCTCGTCTCTACCCGCTACTCCCGCAGAGGCTGGAGGAAGAGCTGCGTTTGCACAGGTGCTCCACTCGTGAGTGTATAGAGCAGTTCTACCTGGACAAACTCAAGCAGGTAGGGCTGCCCTGGTACGCGCAAAGGTCCCACCCGAGAGGCCCTGGGAATCCCGAGCTCTGCGGTTTGCTCTTTCCGCAGAGGCCCATGGAGCAAAACAAGTTCGGGCGCCTTAGCATCCGCTGCTACTACGAGGCAGCCGAACAGCGGCTGGCGGTGGAGGTTTTGCATGCAGCCGACTTGCTTCCACTGGACGCCAACGGTGAGCTGGGGCGAGGCTGATTGGGGTCGGAGCGACGGGGGCGGGCATAGGGCGGGCCCAACTCGGCCACCCTCCCTACCTCCAGGCCTGAGCGACCCTTTCGTGATTGTGGAGCTGGGCCCACCCCACCTCTTTCCGCTGGTCCGTAGTCAGAGGACCCCCGTCAAAACTCGGACCTTGCACCCGGTGTATGACGAACTCTTTTACTTGTAAGTGTCAGACCCCCCCCCCCCCCCGAGCCAGTAGGCGTGGTCACTGCAGGCTGACTTCCGGTGGGTGACCTTACACCCGTGTGTCCATAGCTCTGTGCCTGCTGAGGCGTGCCGCCGCCGCGCTGCCTGCCTGCTGTTTACCGTCATGGACCACGACTGGTTGTCCACTAATGACTTTGCGGGCGAGGCGGCCCTCAGCCTGGGTAGCATCAGCGGCGTGGCCCGGTCCCAAGCAGGAGGGGGCATGCGCACCATACAGCCCATCACCCTGCACCTGCGCAGGCCCAAGGCTCATGGTGAGTGCAGGGAGGCGCGGGCAGGAGGGACAGGGATGAGAGGGTGGCGCCTGCCTGACCTGGCTTCTCCCCCTCTCAGTGCGGTCAGCGTTGAGAATGCTGGAGGGCCGTGCCAACAAGGAGGCACAGGACTTTGTCAAGCGGCTCCGGGAGCTGGACAAGTGCATGGAGGCAGATGCCTAAGCCCCTCCTCTCTCACCCCCACCCCTGTCACCTCACCATGCCGCCCCCTTCCCCTGCTGGGTGGCATGTGTGCTATGGCTGGACCGCATGGCTTCCCTTCACTCTGGCCTTCTTGGTGTGGTTGTCCTGTGAACCCCCACTTGACTGAACCTACATGCTCACTCCCAACCCAATGCAGTCTCCATGGTACCAATGAGCAGCAGCTGCCCTGGGGCAGAAGGGGACCCAGCCACCAGGTGGGTGACCCTCCAACTTGCCACGCCATGCCAGCTGGGGGGGGGGGTTGTGGCTGTATTCCTAGGGGGCACTGTCATCACACTGGGGGTGGGGGTGGGATGAGCCCAGGGACAGCACTCAGTGTCTTCTTCCCAGTCATGTCCACCCCCTGTGGTACCAGTGCCAGAGAGCCCAGGTGGAGGCAGCAAATGGGGTCATCCCTCCCCTTTAGTGGGAGGAGAGGTCTGCTAAGAATGACCAGGTCTTGCCCCGAACCCTGATCCCAGGTGAAGCTCCCTGGGGTCATTCCGAGGAGGGGACAGCACGTGAAGCTGGTGGACGAGCCCACCCACACGAGCATCCCTTTCATGCAGAACCTGTTCAGCTGGAGTCTGAGTGTCCCCACCTCCCCTTTGGGTGCTCCACGCCAAGGGTGAAGAAACAGATGCACATGGGGTTCCTTCACTCCAAGATTTATTGAGGGGGCTCCAGGGCAGGACCCAGGGGCCAGGCAGTGTTGGCACAGAGCTGATGTCCAGTGCTGCTGGTGGCCACCAAGAGCCGCAATCACCAGGCCTTTCTGCTTCCCACTCCTTGCTGCAGTCCTGAGTTCACCCAGCCGTGACAAATACACATGTCTGTGACCTTCAGTCTCTCTGTCTCCTACTGATTCCTTCCCACATGCCCTCCAGAGGGTCAGCCGTGGCCTCCTTCCTCAGCTCCTCCTCAGGGATACCTGCTCCAGCCTCAGCACGCTTCCCCGGCTCCTCTTTCTCCTCCTCCTCAGACTTGTCCTCGTCACTGTCACCACTGTCTGGGGACAGCCTGGAAGGGAACGAGCAGTGTGTCCCTGAAGGCATTACCTCACCTCCCTTGGGCAGGCCTTGCTGGTGAACTCCCCCAGAGCACAGGCTTACAGCTCTTCTTCTTCGCAGTCCTGTCAGCCAAGCCCTCTCTGGAAACTTCTGCTTTCCCTCCCCCACAGATAGAAACCCCTGGGTGGGTGTGTGTATGTAAAGGGGGGGGGGGGGGAGAGGCGGCTACAGCCACAGAGCTGGGAAGCTTCAGACTTACCGGGAGCTGGCCACAGGCCTGTTGAGGTTTGCAAACTCCCGCCCTGAATCCACATCAAAGGGATCTGAATGGAGGGAGATAATGGAGGGCAGTGAGCTGGACTCAGGCAGTGGCAGGCCAGCAGGGTCTGTGCATTCACCCTGGGAGCTCCTGTGGTGGGGGGGGGTGTCTCACCAATCTCTTCCTCGGGGTCCTCCTGGGCGCTGGCCAGAAAGTCCTTCTCAGCCTGCAGCACCTCCTCTGGGTCACTGCAGGCCGAGTAACTGTCTAGGAGCTGGCGGTTCAGGTCCAGGAAGGCTTTACCCCATTTAAACTTCCGAAGCAGGATGACAGCCAGGTCAGAAAAGCCTGGCAGGACAAGAAAAGGGGAGTCCCATGATGCCCACAGCCCCTCTCTCGAGTCCTAACCTCCAGTCCTCCCTCCTACTGCTGCCCCTGTGAAGCCCGCCCGCCCCAAGACTGCCCTGTGGGCCTCCCCTCTGAGACAAGTCAAGGTGAGGGGCCTCTAGGCCATGCCTCCAGAGGGCAGGCACGCCTGACTTTATAGCAATTCACTGTTCTTTCCATATAGCTGCCTTTTTTTCCTTTCTTCAAATTTGGAAGGTTTGTGGCAGCCCTGCCTTGAGCTGAGTCCATCAAAGCCATTTTTCCAACTGCCTGGGCTCACTTTGTGTCCCTGCTGGGCTTTCTCGTCATGCTAGTCCACATTCCACAGATCCCAGTCTAGTGTCACATGACTTCTGTGTGTACCCAGAAACCAAGGGCTACAAGTGACTGGCTCTATTGTGGTGGTGTGGAACTGAACCCACAGTTTTCTGTGAAGTATGCATGTTAACGTGAGTGCTGCTGGTTAGGACGCCATCTCGGAGCCCCGGCCTTTAAGGGAAAGTTGGAACTGATACCCTCGTCTGCCAGTCCCAACAACGTCTTATCATCGTGTCCCTTCTTGTATTCCTCCTGGGACTGAGTCTAGCCCAGATGGTGACACTCACCCAGGATGCAAAAGGTGGCTGCAAAGGCCTCTACACAGGACAGCTTGCAGGGCCGGCCATAGTTCACGGGGTTGGCAGCCAGCAAGTAGGGCAGGAGTCTCAGGTGGCTGCCCCGCATCTTGCTGAACGGTGTCTCGTCCAGCCTGGCCCAGGAACAGTCGATGACAGCGACCCCTGACTGGGCTACCAGCTGTCTGCAGATAACAACACAGAGCTGGGTGGTTCCAGCTCAGCATTGCCTTAGTGATGACCCACACGGAGGCCTTACTAACCTCACAACACGCAGCTTCAAAGAACAAACTTTTAAAGCAGCATGCTTGGTTATTCACCCTAGGCTCTGGGAGCAAACCCGGCACATGTTTCCTGCCCACGTGGACCACAGTCTAGGGGGTTGGAAGTTAGATACACAAACACCAATTAGTGGACCCCGAAAAGAATGATGCCCCTAGAGATCAGGTACCCAAGACGAGACAGTCCGGGAAGGCACCCCCTCCCAGCCCAGGCCTTCCGCGCCTACCTGTCTGCAGGGGACACGTACTGGGTGCCCATGGGGCTGAGCACCAGACCACCGAAGCGTTGCCCCAAGCGCAGGCAGCGCACCAGACCCAGTCGGGCCAGCTTGCGGCCGGTGCAACGCCGAGGATCACAATGGCCCAGCTCCCACATGGCCAGTGGGCAGGGCAGCCCCATCGCTCCCTGGCCCTCCTCGTCCCCGGCCGCATCTGCCTCCACGGACGCTGAACCGGGAGAGAGAAAGAGGACCCTTCAGGTGCGGGTTCTCGGGCTGGCCCTAAACCTTCGACCCCAACCCAGGGCTCTCCCATCACCCCGCGCTCACCGCGCAGCGCAGCGCCGACCTCCTCAGTGAAAGCCTCCAGGGAGCGGCCCACGGGGCGCCGAGCACGGGCGACTTCGGCCCGGGGCCCGCGCGGCGCCCTCCTGCGACCCATCGCGGAGAGCTTGGCGCTCAGCGAGCCACCGGACCAGCCGTCCCAGGAAGTACGGCTGAAGTACGGCTGTGCTGGAGTACGCGCATGCGTTGCGCGCCACTTCCTGTGCTCACGTGACGTATCTGCGTTCACGTGACCCGGGCGGGCTGCGGAGCTATGGCTGCTGGGCTGGCTGGCTCTCTGCTGCTCCTCGCGCTGGCGGCGCACGGTTAGTGACTGGCCTTCCGCGTCCCCTCCCGTGTCCCCACCCCTGGGCTTGCTGCCCATCCCTCACCGCTTCGCTCTTCTAGGGCCGGGACCCACGTGTACTGTCAAGATGAAGGTGGTGGAAGAGCCTAACACGTTCGGGTGAGTAGACTCGCGGGCGGCGCGGCATTAGGCGGAGGGGCGGCCCGGCTTCCGGCTGACCTTTCGTATTCCGTAGGCTTAACAACCCGTTCCTGCCGCAGACCAGTCGGCTCCAGCCCAAGAGGGATCCCTCACCTGTGTCTGGTTAGTGCAGTATCCCGGCCGGGCGGCGGTGCGGGACGGAGCAGGGAGCTTGTCTGGGTATTGACTAGGTCACAGCTGTGATGAGACCGCCTAGGAGCCTGCTGGAGGACCAGGGGAGAGCCCTGGAGCTGGACCTCCAAGGGCGTAACGCTAGAGTCTGGGAAGAAGGGCTGCATGTCGGAGGGACCCTGGGAGTTAAGGCCGGTGGATGTTTGCGTTCGTTTGGCAACTCATTAGAATTTTAAATTAGGCGATATCACACCAGAACATTTTGTACCAAGTGAAAATACTTAACCCTGATTTAGTCCTTTATGTCTCTTTCCAGAGGGAATCACCGTTAGCAGTTTTGTATCTGTCTTTGCAGACATATTTCAGTGCGCGAAGTTCATACGTGTGCAAGTGGAAAATGTGTAGCCAGTTTTGTGGTCTTTGCCTTTAAAAACAAAACAACAACCCTACCATAATGTTACAAAAGTTGGTAGTCTTGGAGTTCTTCATGTTTTCTAGCTGCTGCTGGTATTCTTAGGATCATACGCATTCTTCTGTTGTCAGGCATTGAGAATGTGTCCACTCCCTTGTCATTAGAAACAGCGCTTACGAAAATGTTATTTGTATGTGTGTGAGTGTTTCCCTAAGGCCGAATTGCTGGGTCATGGAGTCATTTTAAGTGTGGAATGAGTATGGAATGTTAAAAGTTAGTTTATTGAATTCCACTATGTTGGAGTCAGTGCTGGGGGACTGGGGGAGGATGCAGAAACAAACGAAACATATAATGTTTGTCCTCAGGGACAGTCGAGTGTGTGTGTGTACATCGGCAAGCACTAAATAATGAGGTTGATAAAATATGTAGGCTATCCCTGGTGATAAATGCCATGTGTTGTTGTTGTTACGTGCCGTCGAGTCGATTCCGACCCACAGCGACCCTGTACAGGGTTTCCAAGGCTGTAAATCTTGACGGGAGTAGAAAGCCTCATCTTTCTCCCGCGAAGTGGCTGATAGTTTTGAACTGGTGACCTTAAGATTCGCAGCCCAATTCATAACCACTACGCTACCAGAGCTCCTAAATGCCATATAGTAGATGCTTAAAGCGAGAAAAGAGACAGGAAGTGTGTGTGTGAGAGTGTTGTTTGGGGACTTGCTGTTGTATGCGCATACAGGGTAAATGTCTTCATGTAAAGGTTACATTTGAGCAAAGAGACAGAGGAGGAAGTGACACTGAATTATAGCGGGAGAGGGTGCCGGGAAGGGAACAGTCACAGGTCTTGGGCCAGGGCAGATAGGACTAGAGGCTGCATGCACCAGGAAGTGAGTTCAGAGATAAAGGGGCTCGATAATGCAGGGTGTTTTTTGTGGGCCCTTAGACTCTGTGGTGCGACAGCTCGCCACAAGGTCAGTGGTTCAAATCCACCAGCTGCTCCTTAGAAACCCTATATGAGGTCACTATGAATTGGAACTGACTGGACAGCACTTAACAATAACAACAACATTTGGACTTTGAGAGGTCTCTGGGTGGCACGAACAGTTCAACGTTGGACTGCCAGCCAGAAAGTTAGCAGTTAGTACCCATCCCGAGAAAGCTCAGAAGGGAAGTGTAGATGGTGGAGTTAGAGACACTTTGGAGCAGCCCTGGGCTGCATAGGGGAGGGAGGCATCATGAGTCAGAGTCCATTTAGCAACACAGCTGGAACGAATTCTGTTCCAAGTTTCACGGAGAAGTAAAGGTCAACAAAATCAGAGAGCCTGGGTGGCTGAAGGCCAGCATGCCCTGTACCCTCCTCTGTCTGTGTCTTAATGGGGGAAAATGTGAATTCTTAGTTTGCTGAACCATTTACCCCCGTGTGCATCTGCCCAAAAAAACCCCAAACTCACTGCAGCTCAGTAGGGTTTCTAAAGCTGAATTCTACATGAAAGCAGGCTGCCACGTCTATCTCCCTCTTACTCTCAGAGCGGCTGCTGGGTTCTAACCATGCGCATTTCAGTTAGCGGCCGAGCACTTGAACCTCCGCACCACCAAGGCTCCTAGCATCTCTCATCCCTTGTGAAACTAGCACTGATTTTATGGTGTGTTCGTCCATGCCAAGAATTCTGCAGTTGTGTCTCCAATGTCTTGTAAAATTCTCCCCACCCACCTTCAAAGCAGTTTCAAGAGTCATGGGAGTGTTTGGCTGATTGTATTTCTCTGGTGTTTTCGTCTAGAATGTCTAATCTCCTCTTTCCTATTTAAAAAAATACTTCTATGTCATGATCTTGACTCTCTTGAAGCATCCAGGCACACTGTCTGGTATCGAGCGTCCGGCTTTCTGTCCCTGTCTCTTTACCGTGTCATTTAGCTTGTTCTGCTCTCCCTGCTGTTTCCCATGAACACTGAAATGGGCCTGGACGCACGACCAACATCAGGTGAAGTTGGGCAAGAATAGGTCAGAAAGGGGGCTTTGGGCTGCGACTCACATTGCCTCCTAATCACGTCAGACCCTTTACTGCCACGTCGATTCTGTGTCACCGCAACCCTGTGTGTTTTAGAGCAGAGCTGTAGTCTCCATGGAAACAAGTCATTAGGCCTTCCTTCTGTGATACTGTGGGGTGGGCTTGAACCACAGAACTTTATGTTGTTGCTAAATGCTGTCAAGTCAGTTCCTACTCATAGCATCCCTGTATAGGGTTTCTGAGAAGTGGCTGATGAGTTTGACCCGTCACCCTTGCCGTGCACACCGACCTCTGCCATCCAGTGTGTTATCCTGCAGCCGCAAACTTTGTTGTTGTGAAGTGCCATCGAGTCGATTCTGACTCAGGGCGACCTTATATAGGGTTTCCAAGGAGCAGCTGGTGAGCTTGAACCACCAACCTGCATGCAGTCTGAAGCAGCAACCTTCACATTAAACCAATAAAATCAAACCCGCTGCTGTTGAGTTGATTCCAACTCATGTGACCCCGTAGGACAGAGTAGAACCGCCCCATTGAATTTCCGAGGCTGTCGATCTTTTTCTTTTTTTTTTTAAACTTTTTATTGTGACTTGTGTGAAGGTTAACAGATCATCAGTCCCACATCCAACAAATCACACACTTTATTTCATTACAATGATTGCAATCCTAGGCTCTTTTTGATTGGGAGGAGGTATAATCAAGCTTAATACGGATTTTCTGTTGGGAGGCTGACCCCTCCTTTTGTTTCCTGGTGCTGGTCTGGCGTCTCCCCATGTACACACAGGGGTCCCTCAGATCTCAGATCCCTTTTAGCTAACATCGTTTTTTTGTTCCCCTAACATTATCTTTTATTTAAACAGAAATAGTAACCATCAGTGTCCTTACATAACCAGTATCCTAGAGTGGGAAATGGAGCCCTGGTGTGGCGCTGTGGGTTAATGTGCTGGACTGCAAAGTCGCTTCAAGCCGCAGTCGGCAGTTCAAGCTCACCAGTTGCTCCTCCGAAACCCTATACAGGGTCACTATGGGTCCGAAACTACTCAATAGCACTTAACAACAACAACCAAGGGTGATAAACTAATGCAGCTCTAGTGTTAGGGCTGGTGATCTGGCGGCTATCCACTAGGGGACTACTCCTGAAACATTGTAACAAGTTTGACCCTACTTAGAATTTCAAACTGGAGGGAATTTTAGAAATCATCCTAATCCCATCTGCCTCGTTTTAAACTGTGGAAACCAAGACCTAGAGAGACAATGAAATTTGCCCAAGAGTCAGATCAGGACTAGAAGAAACCAAGCAAGCCATTGATACGCCAAAGGCATTCTCTCATCTTCTTAAATGATGTGTAAATATTATGGTTTGAAAAGCAGACTTTTCTCCTAGTTTTAGATCAATTGTGAATCACAGACTGATATACATGTACCAGGATATTGATGAGCTTTGTTTTTTAAACTAATACTGGAACTGAATTCCCAGCCAGCCATTAGCAGGAAACAGTTTGGGCAATCAAATCTATTTTCCAAGACAGCTGGCCAGAGTTAAGGGTGGAGGTTGGAGCACCTGGGAATTTTCGCAGCTCCATTCTTTCCCCTTGAAGTCTGGTGCAGATCAGTGTTGGGAGGGGACTCAGCTGCCCGTTCTCAAGCAGTGAGGTCGCTATGAGTGGGTGCCGACTCGATGGCACCGAACAGCCACCACCACCAATCATTGTAACCTAGTTGATTCTAACTGCAGTTCCAGCCATGTATTTCTCCCACTGAGCGGCTGGAGGGTTTGAACCGCAGTCCTTTCAGTTAGCAGCATAGCACTTTACTGCTGCGGCATCCTGGTGTGGCGCTGTGGTTAAAGCACTGAAGTGTAAAGTCAGTTTGAACCCTAAGATCGGCGGTTCAAGCTCACCATCCGCTCCTCGGAAATCCTAGAGAGTCACTATGGATCGGAACTGAGTCCATGGCACCTACAACATGGCACTAGCAGGACTCCACATCCTAATTTCTCTGGGGGCACAAGAAACGACACTGATGATTTCCTGCTGAAATCTTCCTCCTGCGAGGTTGTCCATCTTCATGGAAGCAGATGGCTTCTGCTGAGCTGGACTCACGGACCTTCCAGTTTGCACCACCTTGATGCACATGATGTGGGAAGGCGTTTATTGCCAAGTAACCTTTAATCACATGGTTGATGCTGGCTGGGGGTGTAGCCACTGAGAAAGGTGGGTTTCTCCTGAGTAGTCAGTGGCCTCTCTGGGGGGGGCTTGGAACTGCATGTTACTGTGACACGGTAGGAAACACTGGGTGTCTTCGTGCTCCCTGCGGTGCGTGTCAGCAGGAGGCCCCTGGTAAAGGGGGCTGCCCGGCCTTGTGTGCCCTCCCCACCTTTTCTTGTTGACTAGCAATCTAGGCTCAGAGGTAAGCCAGTCTGTGTCCTTCTCCGTGTATTACCATTGACAGCCCAGCCCAGTAAGATCTAGATCTGAGGGCTTCCATCTGTGTAGCCACCGCCTCAGACCAGGCAGAGAGCAGCCCCTCCCAGCCAGCTTTCTCTCACTGCTACTGAGTTTGTTAGGTTTCACTGATGG